ACCAGTCCTCCAGATCTGTTTCCTGTGTAGCTAGCTAAACTTATAGGCACAAGCCACTAGCACCTGACTTCATTACAAAACATACATAATCATTATTAAAATGGCAAAAGACAAATATTGTGAGCAAATACCTTGCTACCCTACCAAAGCCAAGTCTCCCCAGTGCTGAACTAGTGTGCCACACCCCACCTCCCCCAGGACAGTCAATGGCAGGCCTTGTTTTTCTGGCACATCCTCCATGTTCTAAGCCCCCAGGCATCATTCAGCCAGTGTCTTGGTCCCCATCTACATGCTTATGCCATTCACAACTGAAACAGGATTGTATCCTCAGACCAAAGTTCACAGTCTCACAGGAGCTCAACCCAGGGGGCGTTAGAGGGGGATGCTGGCCGGCCATGTCATGGAGCATCTCCCCAATCTTTTGTATGCCAATTTCACACTTGAGCCAGGGTTCACTATTCTCTAGGCTGCCCTGTTAGAGTTACCCACATGTTCATATATATGAACTGCTACAAAGAGATGTGTTCAGACAGGCAAGAGAAAGTGTATACCGTAGCAGGGAGACCTCAGCAACTACAGAATTGGGACACACAATTTCTCATCTATAAGGTAACAAGAAAACACAGACTTATGAATGGTACTGGGATTTGAACTCAGGGTTTTCTGCTTACTCAAGCTTGCTGGCTACTTGAGCCATACATTCAGTCCAGCACTTGCTGTTTAATTTTGGGGATAAAGTCTTGCAGACTTCTGCCTAGGCTGGTTTCTAATTGTAGTCCTACAGGTCTCAGCTGTATGAGTAGCTAGGATTATAGGTGTGAGCTACCTTTGTCTATAGAGGGTCAAATCATTTTTTTTTCGTTTTTTTATTGTCAAGGTGATATACAGAGCAGTTACAGTCACATAAATAAGGTAATAAGTACATTTCTTGTCAAACTTGTTACCCCTTCCCTCAAGAGTCCAATTATTTTAACACTGCTAATCCATGAAGAAGGTGACAAGAACACAAACATGTGTATCCTGACAGAACACTGGACCCTCTATTCAGCCCACCTCCATAGCATAGGCAGCTATCTGTTTATGCAAGGATATGTCACTATGAAACATAAGAAAAAACAAATGCTAAAGCAATACATTGTTGGGAACAACTGATACCATTCCAGGCAATTTCTGATCATATATAAGCATTCAAAAAGTTTTTACTAAAAATGTTCCTTATTCATTTTTTACTAGAATGCTCTGAAGATTTTTTTGTTTTTGTTTTTTGAGTCCAGTCGTGGGGTCTAAACTCTGGGCCTGGGCGCTGTCACTCAGCTCTTCAGCTCAAGGCTAGTGCTCTACCTCTTGAGCCACAGTGCCACTTCCGGCTTTTTTCCTTTTGCTTATGTGGTGCTGAGGAATCGAACCCAGGGCCTCAGCCATGCAAGGCAAGCGCTCTACCACTGAGCCACCTTCCCAGCCCTGCTCTGAAGATTTCCGACCAATACCCAATGCTATAGGAAAACACTATCCAAACTGAGTAAGGTGGCACACTCCTGTAATCCTAACTTAAGAGACAGAGGCAGGAGAATGGGAGACCATACCCTAGGATACAGAATGAGACTTTTACCCCACCCCTACCCCCAACTCAATATCACTAGTTCAAAGGTCAACTCATCAAGCACAAGAATGAGTCTATTATTTCCTGAGTCCTAGGCATGAAACATTAAAACACAAATTAATGTTCCAAGAACATGCTGTTTGAATAGCAAAGTGTATGTCAGCAATCAAACTTAGTTATCACTAAATTTAGAAAACTTTTTTTAAAAAAACCCTCCAGCTCCCCGCTCCATATCTAATGTAAGGTGAGGGGAACAGAAGCCATTGCCTGGCCCCTAAAGCATCACCTAACTTTAACATTTCTGTTCAGCTGCAAGGCAAACCACTTTCCACATAGTCTTTATGGCTCACTTGTACCAAAACCCAAGGGTCTTCAGAAAAGGAAAATTCCTGCTGAGTATAAGAGGAATAAAGATAATGAAGTCTATATTAAATATGTGTAATTATTACTATTGGCCTTCTAGGATTTAAATGGCTTTCCTCTATAAGTATGGGCATTGGATTTTACTGATTCATTTTGTCCTTGAGAAAATGCAGAAACTGTTGTGAACAAAGCACCCACACAGTCTATTTGGCTAACGGTCCATTTCAGGTCTATGAATTTTATCTTTCATTTTAGAAGGAGCAGGTGACTGAACAATGAGCTGCTGAGAAGCCAGACCTCTGCTCCACTAGACCAGGACGACGCCCAGTACCATCTAATGACATAGCCGAAGCCCCTCAGGCAGAGCCCGGAGGTGAGATGTTTCTCTCCACATTGCTACTCAATGGTAGACTCTACCTTGTAGAAAGGCAGAGGCAGTATGTGAATGAAGTGTGTGGTAAACAGGTAAGACAAAGGGTGAACCAATTCAACAGTGATACTCACTAGATACTATGTTGGAAATGAACTTTACAACTTGGTGCAGAGTGGGGCTGGAAGGGAGAAAAAGTGGGAGAAAATGAAGGAGGGGTAACATTGTTCAAAAAGAAGTGTACTCATTACCTGACTTATGTAACAGTAACCCCTCTGTACATCACCTTTACAATAAAACTTAAAACAAAAACAAAATAAAGCAATCAGGAATCTTAGTCATGAAAACCCTGGAGCCCTGCGCAACAGCCAGGAAGGCTTTTCCTTCTGGGTGTTTTACATATTAAACAAATGTAAAGTCCAGACTCAAGTGACAGTACCCTATGGTAAGTGGGGGAAAAAATGTCCAGGATCGTTTTTTCCAAATTGCTATGGGTTTTACTACCCACCACTAGGCTACCTAGGTTTTCCATCCACCTACAAATCTCTTGGTAGGGCTTTTGGGTGACAATGGCAGGTGTCCAATAAGACACTGCATGGAGAACCTCATCAAGATGTGAGCACACGGTTATGCTCAACCACATCAAAACTCAATGGCAGACCACAACCCACAGCCAATTGATTTCTACTCCACACAGACTCTTGCTCCGCTGGAATGCTTTCTCTCCTCATTTATAAATGAAATCACTACATTAAGAGGTGGCAATGAATTTGCCATCTCTCAACACTATCATCATGATCAGAGCGGGAAAAAGCCATGGTCTGACAGGAGAAGCAGCCCCCATCCTCCACATTGAGAAGAACGAGTTGCTTTCCTGTCAGAGGCCACCTCCTGACACCTGAACACTGTCAAAGGCAATTCTACCCTGTGATCCTCAATTGCACAAACTGCAGGAAGGTAGAGAAGAGGAGAATAATAATGTCTTTATACAGAGTGGAGGAAGCTCCACAGTAGATTGAGAGACCTGAGCCCTTCTGTCCAATCCAGGTGGGGACTGCCTGAGAGGCCCTGGCATGACCAGCAGGATTGGCCCGTCTACCCTCTCAGCGATGTCCAGGCAGACACTAAAATCAGACCATAAGAGACCCAATGTGACAGATGACAGGGACACAATTTACATACACGAAGGAAAGGAAAAGCAGCAGAGAATGATACCCTCAAGGTGAACAGATTTATAAAGCCTAAGCGAATTAATGAACCATGGCTAATAGAAGACAGTAGGTCCCCACAGGAAATCCAAGCAAAGGCTCACCTAGCCAGTCAAACTAACAAGAAGTCAGCCAAATGGGTAAGAAAACTACAAGGGCATTATATTTACTTCTGCCGAACAAAACAGATTGCATTCTATCTGCCAGACTCACAGATATAATGTCAAAATAGTCCTAAAAGAATCCTGATCGCTAGGTAACATCCCCATTTTACAGATGAAAAGTTGTGACAGGAGGGTCATGTGGCTTTCCCAGAACCATCCCGAAAGCACAGATTTCAGGCCCGTCCCACAGGGCTTCTTCAAAAAGCCCAGTGTTCCTGATTGTAAGTACACAGATGAGGGAGGACCCAGTCAACTCTGTCTGAACAAGGCAGAACTATGACATGTTTTAGGCTAGGCCTTGTGGGTCATGGCATCTGTTGCAACCCTGTCAAAATGGTAACACACAGCATAGCCGCTAGCCATGGAGACATTGGGACAGCTGGCCAAAAAAAGATTCCTGACACCCAAAAGGTTGGTACACCGCAGTTCTGTGCCAAATTCAACCTTCTACTTTTTTTTTTTTTTTTTGGTAAACACAGCTGTATTTATGCTCTAGATTGGGCTCAATAACTAGGTTTAGGCTATTTCTAGTCACACTATAATAATGTTCTGGTTTCAGGGAAACAACTTCAGGATTATTCCAGATGCTTGAATCCAACATCTGTCCCAATCTGCCTTCACAAACCATGTCTGACTCCTCATCTATGGCCTGTAGCCAGGCCCCTAGGTTGGAGTGCTCGTTAAATACCTGGTGCCCTACCAGTGACCTCTTACTGAAAAGCAACAGTCTACACTGTCATCACCAATTATCTGGTGATTCAGATTCTGGTCATCTTAGGGAGCCTAAGAGATGACTGACTGAGACTGAGCTTGTGGAGAAATGACTATTCGTTGGCTAATTCATTTGTTCACATACGTTACTGAGTACCTGCCGAGGATAGGGAAGCAACATCTACCTTCAGACTAAATAAGGATGACTCATTGCACCAGACCTAATGCTTCCCACACTGCAAATCTGAGACCTTAGCTCAAACACTACCATTTTCCAGCAAGCAGATGGTGACACATGGTGCTGCTCTGACAACTACTGCAACAGGAGACAAAGAACTCTGGCTTCCTGTGGAGAACAGAAGCTGCAGGAGCAGAATCCATGAGCTGGGAGAGGGCAGAGGTGGCTCATCACTGAGTGCTGAGCCAAGCTTGGCTCACTGCCCGGAAACAACAGAGGCTCCAAAAATATTTGTGGTATCACCGTGGATTACCTCGGTGGCTTCTGACAAGGTGGAAGGTGAACAGTCAGCAGATGAAAGTTCCGTTTCATAACTCACACACAAATGGGATCAGTTTCTCCATACCTGGATCGTCTGGTAATCCGAAGCATCTATTCCCTTCACAGTCACCTCGCGGAAAACTCGTGGCTCCAGTTCCTCTTTGGTGAGGTCACAGTGATAAATGATACCTAGAAGGGGAAGAGCCTTAGGTTAGTTCACAAGACTCACAAGATGCCAGGCAACAACAAGGACCACAAAGCACAACCAGACCCTCAAGGTGATTGACACTTTAGTAGGAGGGTCTCTACTCCCAGTCATAGGAAGCCAGACTGGCCTGACAAGCACCATGTAAAAGGACCACCTCCTTTCTGTAATACTAACCCAAGCATTCTGTAAGTGAAAAAAAAGGTAAAATACCGCTGGGAAGGTGGCTCAGCGGTAGAGTGCTTGCCTTGCATGCATGAGGCCCTGGGTTCCATTCCTTAGCACCACATAAGCAGGAAAAAAAAGGCCAGAATTAGCACTGTGGCTCAAGCGCTAGAGTGCTAGCCTTGAGCTGAAGAGCTCAGGGACAGCGCCCAGGCCCAGAGTTCAGGCCACACAATTGAAGAAAAGAAAAGGTAAAATACTTAACTATGGAAACAACAGATTTTTCTCCAACCCATTCCCGACAGCTTAGGAATAGAAGTCAAGGAAAATGGCAAACTTCTTCTGGGGACTTTGACCTGGGACAGAAAACTACAATGACTTGCCTATGGTCAACCACTAATTAGGAGTCTCTTGACCAGATTCCTGGGGCTTCTGCTACCTGCCACCTAACTCATCCGTGGACGCCCATGTAGACAGCGATCAGAGATCAAAGATGACTTCACTTATAGTGAAACTTAGTGACTTCAGTTTTGTTTTGTCAATTTTTATTATCCAGTAATTGTGTACAACACAAAATAATTACTGTATACCAAGAATTCCAGCTCATTTAACCACTGATTAAAATTCTACTTGCTGGATTTAATGCTACTCTCCCACATTTAAGAAACGAAAGAAATAATAAGTAAATAAGATGAGTCATTAATGTCCCAAAACAATGGCACTTCTGTTGTTTATGAAACAAAAATCAGTCAGAGGAGCTGGTGTGGAAACAGCACCTCCCTACATATTTCTTTAAACATAAGCTGCCGAGGGTATGAAATTGGTTTTGTGGTCCTTGTACTTGCTGGAAACCCAAACATCAAGGACTACCACAGGGCACATTTAAATGGATTGATCATGGAGGGTAACGGTGTCTTGCTCTCTTGTTCTCATTCTTGTATGAATGTACTTCACTAGTGATTGGAAAACAATACTCTGCCCCCCCCCTCCATGGGCAAGGAGTAATGCATCTGACTCCTAACAACAGTGACAGCTAATCTTTATGAATGGTATTCCCATTCTTGTGGTTATAGATTATTTGAAGATTACTATAAAAGGGCATATGATTAATTCTGTCAGTATGAAGATGCATAACATGACTAAAGAACTGGCTTTCTCAGTTTAAGTCATACTTGGATATTTGTTAAAATATATCGATATGTAACATATCTTTACATGTGAGGTACACTCAGGGAGCATGCAGCCTGATTCATTGCTATACCGAACTGAACACTATCCTTGCAATCTTGCGAGCATAAGGCTCCCTACAGACAGGAGCTTTTTCTCCTTCCTTCCTTCCTTCCTTCCTTCCTTCCTTCCTTCCTTCCTCCCTTCCTCCCTCCCTTCCTTCCTTCCTTTCTTCCTTCTTCCTTTCTTTCTTCCTTCCTTTCCTTCCTTCTGCTTTCTCTCTTTCTTCCTTTCTTGTACTGGTATTTGAATCAGGTGTCATGTTTGCTAGGCAGGAGAGCCAGCACTTTAAGCCAAGCCTACAGCAGCAATTTTGGCTATAACTATTTTTATGTTAAGGTCTAGAATTTTTGCCCAGGCTATCTATGGGTCATGGTCCACCTCCCTGAGCCTCCTCATAGCTGGGATTACAAGTGTATCCCACCATATCTGATGGGCTCTTGATAACTTTTTGTATAGGCTGGCCTTGAATGATAATTCTTTGGATCTCTGTCTCCCAAGTGTCTGAGATTACAAATCATGTCACTACCTCCCAGCCCTAAATGTAAACTGGCCAGTACAGCTGGTACCCCCTACAAACACACAGCAACAAAACAAAAACAACAAAACTCTCCAAATAGTCAAACAAAAAGAAGACAGATTTCAGACCAAGCCCCAAGCCCATGCCATCTGACCTCCTGACTCACACCAACAGCATACCAACTGTTAAACATGTTAGGAGCCAGAACTCTTAAATCAGTGGCCTCAGATGGGTTACCACAGTAGCAGAATACAAATTCCTCAGTGCAAGACAAAGAGGGGGAGATGCCCTGCATGACTGTGTATCTAGAAAGGTTAAGACATCAATTCTAACCAGGGAATGAAATGAACTACCACAGAGGCTAGTCACCACCCAAAGGGTATCATGTGCCTGACCCTGAGGTTCACTGAAGGAGGTGGTATTAAACCTGAAGGTACCACCACTTAGTACTTGCTATCATCCATCCATCCATCCATCTGGGTTAGCCGAGGCTAGCCCACTGCAATTCACACTCTGACCTAATGATGCCCAAGTCCCAGGTGCCCTGGCTCATACGAAAGAACAGGGAGGTGAGGTTAGAATAAACTATTCTAAAATCCGGAACAAAAGACTAATGGTTGGTGATCTCCAGGAAATAAATTTCAAAGTTCAAGAGAACTGGATTATGGAAGTTCCTTAAGGCCAGAAGGAATGCCTGGCCTCGAGACGCTTCCTGATGGACAGTGCTTTAGCAAGGCCAGGACGGAGGCAGGGAGATTAGCTGGCACAGTCCCAGAGGAATGTGAACGTAAGAGGAAGGAAGAACACTTTAGGAAGAATCCGGGGGATCATGTAGATTAGGTATTTTCTTTCCTGCTTATAAGGTCAGTTTTGATGTTATTAAAGAAAAAAAAATAGCCCAAACTTCATCTCAAGTCTTTGTCTTTCTCAACAGTTTGTGGAAGACTTCTTTTTTTTTTTTTTTTGGTCAGTCATGGGGCCTGAATTCTGGGCCTGGGCACTGTCCCTCAGCGCAAGGCTCAAGGCTCTACCACTTGAGCCACAGCGCCATTGCCGCCTTTTTCTGCTTATGTGGTGCTGAGGAATCGAACCCAGGGCCTCATGCATGCAAGGCAAGCACTCTACCACCTTCCCAGCCCCTGTGGAGGACTTCTTTAAGATTTCTCATTCCTGGGCTGGGATGTAGCTCAGTGGCAAAGCGCTTGCCTAGCAAGCGCAACGTCCTGGGTTCGATCCCCAGTACCAAAAAAAAAAAAACAAAAAAAAAAAAAAAAAAGATTTCTCATTCCTGCCTCCCAGAGTCACAGACACAGTTCTGTATTATTACAAGTAGCAAGTATGGCTGGTGTTCACCCCAGGTAACTCTCAAAGGTTCACACAAAGAGAATTCATCAGTTCAACTACTAAGTGGTTTGAGCCACAGGGAAATCAGTGCATGGTGCTCCAAACTGTCCGGCTGCCTGTTTTCTCCCAAGTGTGACTGTAGGTGCAAAAGTCACACATGGATTGGGCTCAAGATGTATCTTCACCAGGAACCTCCACAGGAAACAAAATCTGCAGGCATGCACCTGCCGGGGGTAGCTCATGTCCACAGCAGGAAGTGCTATTTCAGAGCCTGGAGTGCTAGTCACAATCTCCTAGCTCTGCTATGGACCGCAGCAGTGAGCCTCTCCTCCTCACAGAGGATGAAAATGCACACAGGCATCACTACTTTCCTAAAATCTAGTTTCATTATCTCATGGGCATGTTTTCGTTTGGCTTTAGAAGGCCTAGATCTATTCTATTTTCCTTTTTTGTTTGATAGTGCCAGTAGTGGGGCTTGAACTCAGGGCTTTGTACTCTCTCACAGCCTTTTCACACTCCAGGCTAATGCTCTACCAGTTGAGCCACATTTCCACTTCCCATGATGATTTTGATATCAGATTGAGTTAAGGAGAGAAAAAGAGAAAGATGGAGGCAAAGTAAGTACAAGGAGACAAAGGAACAGAAAAAGCATTGCACTAATGAATTACAGCTGTTCAGAAGCTGCCTGGCAGGGGAAAAAAGAGAACTAACTAGGAACATGCTTCTCTTTTCAAACTTCTCAGCCACAGTCACAGATATTTCATTGCTTGGCACAGAACCCATCATTTTACACGAGGACAATAAGCTCCTTCTTTCCCCAGGTAATGCTGAGCTTGCTCCTAAAATAAATGGTCACACAGGGTCCATGAAGGACCTTTACAGGCCTTTGAGAACTCTGGGTTTTATTAAGACCAAGTGAGTCACCTCTCTCCCCGCCCCCTCCCCGTGCTCCTCTTTGTCCTTTATCTGTTGGAACTGCTGAAGTTAGGGGAATTTCCAAATTGAAGTTTCTGAAAGCAGGGAAGCCTGAGAACAAAGTGTGGGCCCTGCAGCCGAGAATGGGAATGGCTACCTGGGAAAAGGGATTGGTTTGCCTGCTCTCTGCCTCTGTTAGGCTCTGGGCTGCTGGGGTTGAGGGGAGGTGCACAATATCTGACATGCATGAAGTTCTTCAACGGCTGGCTCCCAACTTTTGGCACTAGGCCTATTTCCATGGCTCTTTCCCCACCCTCTTGATTCTCTGAAAGATGCTTTCAGAATCAAGCCTAAACTTGCCATGTATACCCCCGGAGCTACTTACAGGAACATCCCTCTTTCTGTTTTCCTAACCCTGACAGCAACCTGTCACCACAATAAGATGTCTGTAACTCAAGAGATTCTAAAGAAAAGCAGATGACGCATCACTGTCATCTGGCCAAGTCCCAGGAGAAGACGGAGCCAATTCAGCACCTGCCTAACTTTCCCCCAAGAGTGCTTTATTTTCTGATGAGCCAATGAAAGATTGTGACAAAACCAGATGGGGGCAGAAACAGGAACAAGGCAAGTACACAAAGTGGTTGTGGCCAGATTGCTTTCAAGACAGGGTCTGCCTGGCCAACTATAAACTGCCACCTGAGAAAGATTCCTGGGATAAACTGCTGTATATGTATGTCTCTGAGATTGCATAAACAGATATTGGAGAGGCAGGGGAAAAACCAAACCAAAGCAACATGAATATAACCAACATTTTAAAACATGAAAAAGAATTATTTGATTTGGAGAAAACTAATCGACAGCATGAAATGTAAAAATCATACCTCAGGAGTGGCTACAGATTTTATAGTCTGTTATCTATATGCTGTGACCCTGTGTACTTTATACATAGATCAAAAGCTTATTGGAGCTGTGGTACAAATGACAGCAGCAGCTGAGCAAGCGTGAAGTCCTGAGTTCAAATACTACTACTACTAGTACCTAAATAAATATTACTCTCCTACTCTCCCCTGCCCCCCCCCCAAATCATACCAAAGAGACAGGTGTCAGTGGCTCACTCCTGTACTCCTAGCTACTCAGGAGGCTGAGATCTGAGAATCGTGCTCAAAGCCAGTGCAATCAGGAAAGTCCATGAGATTCTCATCTCCAATTAATCATCAAAAAGCTGGAAGTGGAGCTGTGGTTCAAGTGGTAGAGTGCTAGTCTTGAGCTACAAAGCTCAGGGACAGCACCCCAGGGCGAGCATGCACACACGCACACACACACACACGCACACACACACACACACACACACGCACACACACACGCACGCACATACACATACACGCACTAAAAAAGAAACCACATAAGCCTAAGTTTCCAAGTGAACAGCAACAGGGAAAAGACTCACCTGGAGATAAAAAGGAAGTGAACTGATAGAAGATCTCGCTGTCCTTCTTGCGCCCGCTGTACCCCACAACACTGCCGACCTCTAGGGGAAAGGTCTTAAGTTGAGCACCTGTGGTCAGGTCATGAAGCTGTAGGATGTTCTTCACGTCGTGGAGGTAGCATAAGACCAGGAAGTTGGACCTGACGCAAGCTACCCACTCTACAAAGACAAGGAGAGAACCTCATGTTTCTGCCATTTATTTAACGGAACAGCAGTTACAGAGCTCTGCTTTGTGTGAAGCAGCAGTAAGACCGTCAAAGCCATTTTACAAGTTGATTTTAATATCTCAAGTAGTTTTCAGCGCAGTCCTTTATTGAATGATCACACTCGTTACATTTATTCTGTCCAGAGGAAACAAAACATCTTGGTCTAGATGATGTGTGCACTTCAAACAACTTCGTCACACTGATTTTGATAAGTGACCCCTACAGCCTGTGTGTTGAATGCTTAGTCCTCAGCTAAGGGAGGTGGTGGAGCCTTTAAGAGATGGAGCTTAGGGGAAAGAAGTTAGGTCACTAAGGGTGAGCATTTCATTTTGAGACCCAATCTCAATTGGTTTTCTTTTTCAACGTTGCTAGTAGTCAGCATTCACAGTGAGTCAGATAAAAGGGAGTCAGCCATTAGTGAAGAGCCAGTGTTTGAACATGGGCTAATGTATATAGAAACAACATTAATAAATGTTATCTGACACGGATTGCAAAATGGTGCAAATCTACAGAAAATGGTGGAGGTAGGGAGTGGGGGTGGGGAGGGAGAGCAAGCATGATCACTAATGCATGTACTGTAGAGAACACGGGGGATGGAGCTTGAATGGAAAAGGAGGAATGAAAGGCATTTCCTAAGAAGAATCACTAGGACTTGGTGACTGTTGTGATACAGGGTGAGCTAGATCACTGTCATAGTGCTTGGTTATAACAAATGGGAAGGAAGGCATGGGATGGAAAGGCAGGCACAGAGGTCAGCCAGAACTGGGACAGGCCACCCAGAAAGAAGGAAGCAGTGCTAGATGGACGTCACAGGTAATAGCGCAAACATGCTGAAAAGACAACTTCCTTTGACTTCATGCTGATACCCAAGAAATTAGTAGTGCTCTCTTATAACATCATGTTATCCTACAGGGAAGGCTAAGGGTCACCAGGGACCTCAATCTCTGAGTGGCTTGGATTACCAAAGCAAAATTTTGCTCAAGTCAGGATATAAAGAATTGTTGCATCCAAATAAAGTAATTTGTTCACTAGCTAATAGGTTTTTTTTTCTTTTTCTTTTTTTTGGTTAGAGCACCTTAATCAAGCAAGCTTAATGATAAAAAAATAATCAATCTGTGTTAACTATGAGTATATAAAAAATATGAACCAGCGAGTTATAAAGGAAAGTGATTTGTGAACTGTCATCAATAAAAGCCCTGACTTTACAGTTGTACTTTATGATTAATCTCTACCTTTCATTCTCCACAGTGAGTTCTGTAATAATGATATGCAAAGAGTCCAGCTGTGCTTGTCTTTGAATTGACTGATGGGTTCTAGTGAATATATATATATATAATACACACATACACATATATACATATACACAAATACACACACACACATATTACTGTATACGCATGCAGCAGTACTGCCTAATTACTTTGAAGGAAAAGCCTGGCAGCAGCCATGCTGCCTTGGGTTGTAGCTGTGGATTCAGTAGGAAAGAGCAGGCATGAAGACCATTCCATGCAATTCCAGGTTTGAATTTTTTAGTTACCAGGCACAAGAAAATATCTTTCTTGAGCTAGCAAGAACAGAGTGAACAGGATGATAACCTAGGATGTAATCCTTGATCTGCCCGAGTGCAGACATTGGCTTTAATTCATCAAAGAACACACTGTAGCACTATTTTACCTGAGACAGAGCTACTCTTGGGCCTGGGCCTTGGCCTTCCCTCTTGGACACTGCAAACCATAGAAACTTTTGCATTCCTAAATGAATCTATCACAGAATTGTCACTGAATCTATCACAGATGTTCACCTCTAACATGGTAAAGTCTTCCTATGAAGATCTTCATAGGCCCAAAAGTACTGAACTCCCCTTTTATAGGAAAAAAAACTGTCTCCAAATTAGTGAGTTTTCTAAACAAATTCAGCTTTCAAAGCAGTAAATCATTTTTGCAAAAATCAGAGAAAACACCATGAAAAACAGATGATGTGGAAGGCAGATTTTCAAGAGATTAATGTGCTTGAATACACAAAGTGACTACAATGTTTTAAACTAAAACTGACAGCAATCTATTCTTTAAACCTACCCTTAGTTCTACAAGAATATCATGCAAATAACCAAAGGTTAGTCAAAAAGCTAAAAGCTAACATTTGTGAATCTAATAGGTTTAAAAACTGAATATTAGTGATTAGTATCCAATAATAAGTATACAAAGATAACTGGTACTTTTGTGTGTGTGTGTGTGTGTGTGCGCACATGGGCATGCCTCAGTACTGAAGCTTGAACTCAGGGCTTGGGAGCTGTCCCTGAGTTTTTGTGCCCAAGGCTAGAGCTCTGCCACCTGACCTACAGCTCCACTTCTGTTTTTTTGGTGGTTAACTAGAGATAAGAGTCTCAGGGACGTTCCAGCTTGGACTGCCTTTGAACTACTATCAACAGATCTCAGCTTCTTGAGAAGCCACCAGTAGTCTTTGCAAGTCTGACTGCATACCTCCACATTTTAGGAACCATTTCTATGTTACTGTATTAAGCTGCAGTAATGTCACATAACAAAGACTTGGATGCACTATTTAGACATGCTAGCCCTAATAATTTAGAGGTCAAATGTTCTGTATCTTGAAACCAGTCACTAGAGAAGAAGAAAGCTTGCTGGTGTTCTCACCTGAAACAAAAGTCCAACAAGCAAGTCACCTGGAATCTTACCTAAGACATCCTTCTCGTGCTCAGGAACCAGCACTTTCCATTTGGACTCATCAGGATCCATGAAGTCAATGTTAATCAAGCGATAGTTGGGAGAATGGCGATTTGTCTTGAACGTGAACACCGTTCCCTCATTGGTTACATAGTCATATTCTCCTTCAAAGTTGTCGATCAGTTTTACCCACTTCAGGATTCCTGGTGAGAGATCAAGCATTCCTGTCATCTATCTGAAATTTTAAAAAACTGTGAGCTTTGTATTTAGGAAGGAATCATTTCTATCTATACAGCACAAGGAAGAGCAACTGGAAAACTCCAAGGCACAAGAAAAGCAAGGTGAATTTTTTTTTTTTTGGTGTTGCTATTTTTTTTCCTATTGTTTAATTCTAAAAACTGCTGGGCATTGGTAGCTCATGCCTATAATCCTAGCTACTCAGGAGCTAAGATCTGAGGATGGTGATTCAAAACAAGTCAAGCCAGAAAAGTCTGTGAGACTCCAATTCAACAGCAAAAAGCCGGGAAGTAGAACTGTGCGTCATGTAGTAGGGCTCTAGACTTGAACAGAAAAGCGAAGGGACAGCACCCAGACCTTGAGTTCAAGCCTTAGTACCAGCACAGAAAAAAAAAAAAAAAGGAAGAATAAAAGAGGGAAAGAAGGAAGGAAAGAGAGGAAAAAAGGAAGGAAGGAAGGAAGGAAGGAAGGAAGGAAGGAAGGAAGGAAGGAAGGAAGGAAGGAAGGAAGGAAGGAAGGAAAAGAAATAAAGTATTCTTAAAAAAACCTTTCAAAACCTGGCACCTTACCTCCAATATAATCAGCTACATTTTTGCTAGATTTGAGACTCATTCCTAATATCACACCATGAGAAAGCTTCACTGTCTGCTCTCTGGACTATAGTAACGACTCAACCAAATTTTCCTCTCTCATACAGCATTTGAAGTGTCTAGAGATATTTTTGATTGTCATAATGTAGGGGAGGGGGAGTAGGAGGATTGTTCCTGGCATTTAGTGAGAAGAGGTCAGAAATGCTGTTTATGCAAGCTGCAATGCATAGGAGAGTACCATGATAAAGCAGCAGCCAGCTCCAAGTATCAACAGTACTAAGTCTGAGAAACTTTGTCTATTGCATTAAGCTGCCTGCCTGGCCTTCCCATTGCTGTCCTTGATTGTCTCTGTATTTTAGTCACCACATTGTCTTCATATTGTAACGGACTTCCCCCACACATTTTGGTCAAAGGCTCCATGTAGCAATCCTTTCCCACTTAACCAACTTCAGCTTGTTCTAACTGTTGCTTCCTATCTGTGCTCTACTGGCTGTTGACCATGTACATCTAGCCATGTCACAGGCCCTGTCCTCTGCCTAACTGCCCATTCTCAGGAGGCCAGCCACTTCTAATTGCCCCAGTTTAGTTCTTCTTGGTCCTTCTTGCAAGATGTAGTTATGTATTTATTTTCTTATTATTTATCTTTTTTATTAACTATTTCACACTTAGTCCTGAAATACAGTGTGAGGTTTTTTCAAAGATACAAATAAAGTTGTGTTAAATGGAAGAAGGGATATTTTCCGTCAGTTGTGGGGCTTGAACTCAGGGCCTGGGTGCTGTCCCTGAGCTTTTTTACTCAAAGCTAGCACTCTAACATTTTTAGACACAGCACCACTTTGTTTTCTGGTGGTTAGTTGGAAATAACTTTCCTGCCTAGGCTGGCTTTGAACTGTAATCCTCAATTCTTGATCCTCATTCAGGTCTCAGCCTCCTAAGTAGCTAGGGTTATAGGCATGAGCCACCAATGCCTGGCTAGAAGGGACATTTTCTAGTTTTTTTTGGGAGGGGGCAGGGGTCTGGTCGTGGGGCCTGAACTCTGGGTCTGGGCGCTGTCCCTCAGCTCTTTAGCTCAAGGCTAGCACTCTACCACTTGAGTCACAGCGCCACATGCATGCAAGGCAAGTGCTCTACCACTGAGCCACCTTCCCAGACCCATTTTCTAGTTTTATATTCTGAAAAACTAGCATGGAGGTGGTGCTCACTCTAAAGATCTTGAACATGTTCATCATCACCCAAATGGCTCACCATCACTTTTATTATTTAAAAAAAATACTGGGAAGACATTTGCTTCACAGTGTATCTATACAGATACTCAGAGAATGTTTCATAAGGGTAAAAACCCTGTGACTTCTAATCTGAATGATTGTCAGATCTTCTCCATTCCTCTCCTACTTTCAATTTCATTTTGTAACTATTTTGCATAATTCATTCATATTCCTTCTAGCTTTAATGAATACTTTATGCTCTTTTAACTACTTTGTGTTCACTGTATCTTCAGATAATTTGTTCAAGAATTAAATTTATTAGAGGAAACAGGATTCTATCATATAAAAAGGTTCAAGGGTCAGACATATTTGGAGGAGAACTCTGGCTCTCCTACTACTTAGGGCCTCATTTGGTCAATGTCAACTAGGAATTAAAGAAAATGTGAAAACCATTCTAAAAGTTATTGCTAGTGTCTACCCTACAACAAAAATAATTTCTAGCTAAGCACTGGTGGCTTAAGCCTGTAGCTGCAGCTACTCAGAAGGCTGAGACCTAAGGATAGAGATTTGAAGTCAGCCAGGGAAGAGAAGTCTGAGACTCCTACCTCTAATTAATAATAATAATAAACAGAAATGGAGGTGTGGCTCAAGTGGTTGGGCACCAGATTTGAGTGAAAAACCAAAGCCCTGAATTGAATTCTCCCAGAACACCTTCCCCCTCCCTCTCCCTACCCACACCCCCCACCCCACACACAGGGCTTTCCTATACATTGGCAATAACCATTAGAAAACACAGAGGGAAGTAAGGGAAGAACCTCATTTACAACAGAAGCAAACTTAATGGGACACTTAAAAATCTAAACATGAAAAATGGATCCTAAATGAAGAAAAAAAATCTACTATTTTTTCCCCCTAAGGAAATATAAAAGTAGGGACAAAAAAGTAGCTGGAACACATATCATATCCCTACCTAGGTCGATACAGCATTTCAAAGGTGCAAATAATCCCAGAAATGTATGGATTTAACAAATTCCATTCAAAATCCAAATGAAATTTCTAGGGAATGTGATAGCATCCTAAAACTTATCTGGAAGAACAAACACATGGGGGCAGTCAGTTGATTTTTGTTTGTATGGAGTCCCACTTGCCTTCTGGGAGCTCTTCCTGACTTTTATGAAAATTGGCTTTTCTTTCTTATCTCTTCCTGTCTGGGTACCATAAACACTATAGTATAATTTTCCCTCATCACACGGGTTTTACATGTAATGAAATCATGCAACACATACACGCTTGCATCTGATTCTTTCACTTCACATTGTCCTCGTAAGATCACTCATTCTTTGGTAATAATTATTGACTCTTGCTTGTATCTTACGGTGCTCAGAGAATATAGTTAGTGTGCTATTAGTGCTTTTAAGTTGGTTGAGAAATGCTTTGTGATGTAGGGATTTTTTAAAAATTTTCTTTAAAAATGTTCTGTAAATACTTGAAGAATGTGTGCTCGAAATTACTGGATATAGTATGCTAAATATATATGCCTATTAGGTCAGCCGTTTAAATACTGTTGAAATCTTCTGTATACTTACTGATTTATTCTTGGCCATTCTGTCAGTTGCAGAAAAGGTCTGTTAAAAATGTCTCTACAATTGTGGGCTTCTCTATTTTTGCTCATATGCTCAAAATTTGCTCCTGATGTTTTGAAATTATGCTGTTAGATATACACATAATTTTATACACTTGCACAAAACTAGTTTAAAAGTTTTCTAATTATCCATTTTTATCTCTAGCAATGGTTTCTGCTTTAAAGTTGACTTTGATATTAAGATAGGTACTATATCATTCCTGTGGTACTACCTTTAATTAAGTATTTTTAACCTTCACATTAACTATATACAGAGTTCTAATAGGCATCTTAGTTTTGTTTTTTTTTTGGGGGGGGAATTGAACTCTAGGCTTGGGTGCTGACCCTGTGCTCTTCAGCTCAAGGTGAGCGCTCTTGCACTTGAGCCACAGCGTCACTTCCAGTTTTCTGAGTGGTTTATTGGAGATAAGAGTCTCACAGACTTTCCTGCCTGGGCTGGCTTCGAACCCAGATCCTCAGATCTCAGACTCCTGAGTAGCTAGGATTACAGGCGTGAGCCACAGGCACCCAGCTTATGCATCTTAGATTTTTAACGTTGTGTTTTGCAGAATAATGGTTCTCAACTTGTAGTTTATCATTTCTAGAAGTTCATTTTTCATATCCAATAACATGTTTTCCATCTCTTGGTGGGCAGCTATATTTTTAAATTACATTTGGGTTCCCTAAATCTCTTTTACTATGTCTATTTTTTTATTTAGCCAAAATAATTGTTTTAAAATGTGAATGACCATATTTTTTATTCCTAAAAGTATTATTGGTCCTTTTCCGAATCTGAGTCTTTCTAGCATCTTATCTCTTATCCCCACAATTCTTATTTACATTATTTTTATAGCACCACTACGCAGATGGTTTATCATTGTTCAAAGTGTATTTCCCATACTTATTTTCAGGCTGAATCTGATTATCTCACTTCATTTCTGCTAGTTCTATTCTCATGTTGGTGATTTTTGTCTGGCTCGTGCTTTCTGACAGTAAACTAGTTTCCCCTAAAGGAATGAAGCACTACCTGTGGGAAATGTTGGAGGCATGGGTTGAAGTGGCAACCTTCCAGAGTATTTCTCCTAGTTTGCCCCTTGGAACACAACCAGCCTGGAAACTCTGAATTTTTGGCAGAAGAATTTTTTTTTTTTTCGGTCGTGGGGCTTGAACTCTGGGCCTGGGCGCTGTCCCTCAGCTCTTCAGCTCAAGGCGAGTGCTCTACCACTTGAGCTACAGTGCCACTTCCGGTTTTCTGGTGGTTTATTGGAGATAGGAGTCTCACGGTCTCTCCTGCCCGGGCTGGCTTTGAACCGCGATCCTCAGATCTCAGCCTCCTGAGTAGCTAGGATTACAGGTGTGAGCCACCAGCGCCCGGCTGGCAGAAGAATTTTTGAGCCACATTGGACACAATTAAGTCAACCTGTACCCACGTGAAGGGCAGCGTCTCTCCTGTTTCATGAGTAAAATTCACAACGTGTCTCCTCTAGTGCTCAGATAAAGAGACCCCTGCCAGTGCTCAGGTAAAGACAGGCAAGAGAGGGTGCTACTCA